GTGCTCCAACAATTACAGAGACTTAAGTGCACTAATTTGTGCTGCCTTTAAGAGCCATTTAGATGTTAAAGCATTTTAACAGCACTTGCTTATACTTAATGAATATGTCATCATAGCAACTCTTTCTGAGGCCGTCAGCTTAATCAAAAATTAATGAGCATGTGTGTTTGGAGCATTATAAAATGTTGATGAGAAATGACAAATTTTAGCGCAGCACTGAAAAGTAAATTATATAAACAGAGCTATGTATATTTAAAGCTTTTATAGTGCTTAATGTATGGACAATGGATGAACGTAACCTGTCTCTGTTTATATAAAGCTCATTTTGTTTTTAGATCTCTTTCCTGATGATCTGGAAGAATTTATATCACAGCTACATGAGGACCTTCTCAGTAGATTTCAGTTCCCAATAGAGAAACTCTAAAATAGTTTGGGGATAATACAGAACAAAGGTACTAAACTTACACACTCTTTTAGAAGGTGTGTAAACTTAGTAAGAATAGCACATGATGATTCTAATAGGGGAATGTTTGGTGACGCACTGCTAACACAGTCTGAGCTCAGTTTACACACACTCAACTGGCATGTGTAAGAGTCAGGCGTTTAAAAAAAAAAAAAGCCATCTATTCCCGAGCAAACATCTGTCTAATGCTGAGCTCCAACACTGACGAACATGATAAAACACAAATCCTTTTCTTTCAGTGAAACTTTTTTTTTTTTTTTTTACTTTTCCTTCTCGTTTTGTCATATAACAGTGTAAAGCAAACTGATACAGTCAAGTGCAAAAGTTTGCATTCCCTTAAGACAGTGAAGAAGGCAAAGACAAATAATTTACACCAAGGCACCAAGAGTGTTAGGTTTCTCAGATGTTCCTTTATTTTCACAAGTAATAAAAAGGTGAAAAAAAATCTAAATATCAGTTCAAAACTTTGCTTCTTCCTTTCTAAATGTGATATGAATATTCTATAGCAACATATATGTCCATCTTTTACTTTTGTAACTGCCTCCAACTGCTTCTGTATCCTCTGAAGCTGCAATATTCTCACACAATGGCTTCTTCGATTTAAGTCTGGACGCTGAAAGGGTCATCATCTTTCAAGGCAAAACCATTTTCTTTCTTTTTGTCCTTTGTTAAATATTTTTCTGCTGATTGTATTGTTGATTCACTGTTAATTTTGTGGAAATCTTTTTTTTTTTTTTAGATAAATCAAAATATCTTTTATTCATCCACAAACTGTAGGGGGTGCAAACTTTTGCACTGAACTGTATCACTAGTTTTGAGCCATTGCCATAATCCTGTAGCTTCGTTTTGGAGAATTTGTGTATTTGACGAGAGTCCTATCTCGTTTTTTTTACAGGAAGCTCGCTTTGAAATATCACCCAGACAAGAACCCGGAGAACCCTGATGCTGCTGAGAAGTTTAAGGAGCTCAACAATGCTCACTCTGTGCTCTCGGACATCACAAAACGGAACATTTATGACAAATATGGCTCGTTGGGGCTCTATGTGGCCCAGCAGTTTGGAGAGGAGAACGTGAACACTTATTTTATGCTCTCCAGTTGGTGGGCCAAGGTGAGATTTCCAGCACAGTACACAGCGCCATATTTAATTACTGTTCATTGATTGTCATATGTGCATGTTGTACCTTAATCTACTTTTTACTTCTTCCTAGGTTTAAGTAAATAATCTGTGTGTGTGTCTGTGTGTGTGTCTGTGTGTGTGTGTGTATACACTCATCTACAGGGTCTGTTTGCCATCTGCGGCTTGCTGACAGGCTGCTATTTCTGCTGCTGTCTGTGTTGCTGCTTCAACTGCTGCTGTGGGAAGTGTAAGCCCCGCACTCCCGGAGAGGAAGACCCCGAGTCCTATGTGTCTCCTGAAGACCTGGAAGAGCAGATTCGCACCGACTCGGAGAGGGGTAAGCACACGCGCGCGTGCACGCACACACACACGCACTCACACACCAACTGGTTTGACCAAGACAAACCAATATCTGATCTTAAGACATGCTTCTACATCAATAGTCCTTGCACTTTTATTTTAGATCTTAATGATACTGAATTTTAGAATAATCATGCTACTCAGGACCTTGGGTTAGGGGTTAGGGTTAGGGTTACGATCGGATGTGATGAAGTGGAGTTCCACCCTGAGGTTTATTTTCCAATAGCAGCAATTCCCAAAGTGTTTTATTCCTCTTAAACCACAGTAGTTACATTTTTTAAATGAAAGAACAAAACATCATATTTTTATAGTGACATTTATTGTTGTGAAACATTCTCGAAACAAGTTAGTTCCTGTTATCATTGAAGTTGTAAACAGTCATTCCCTCACCAGCTCTCTTTATTACTTTCTTGAGGTTAATAAACACAAATCCCTCTGTCCTGAAGACTTTCCTATGCTGTAAAAAGTTAAGTTACAGCTTTACCTCTGTTTGTTACAAAGCATTGACCCTGGAGCCTCTTTCATTAAATGCTAAATAAACAGAAAGTTCAAGCCTGGTTTGTGGAGCCTCCCTAAGTAAGTTATTAGTACAGGAACGATTGCAGCTGCAGTATTATCAGAGCTGCTGTTATGGAAAATAAATCAACACCTTCCAACCAATCAGAATCGAGAATTCAACAGAGCTGTGGTATAATAGGGTATATACAGGTTAGGCTGTTGTTAAATACATTGAAAATCAAGACTCGGATACTGAAAATCCACTCATGAGCTAGTTAACTGGAGTTAGCTAACCACCTACGCTGTTGAGAAAATTGGGAGTGTTTTTAAAATGCATATTCATTTATTTCTAGGCATTTTAGTAGTTTTGAAAGTAGAGGTGTTTAAAAAATATATATTAAATAATTTATTACCTTAAAATATTATTATAATGAGTGTAAACATAAAATAAATGCACTATTCTTTTTATAAATGTGAAATTGTAGGCAGATATTATGGTAACCTATATTTAAAAAAACTGTGCTATTGAATGACTGACTTTATCATACTGTACCCCTTTCACATATTAGCTTGATGTCAGGTATTAAATGCTGTACACATTTCGCTAGAGAAAAACAAATCTTAACCATGGATACATTTTTGGTGTGTGTTCTCTGCAGAAGCCTTTCATATCAGGGGCCAAAGCTTAGAGCTTAAAATACACAATTTATCCAACACCCACCCTGTTACTGACAATAAATAGACTACATACTTCTGAGCCAGATGTTTGGATATAAACCGTTGTCTTTGCGCCAGTTCGCAGTAGGAGGTTTTTCAAGGCCCTCACAAAGCTGATAATTACTGCCTCTGAGTCATTTCTCCAAGCGAGTTTGCATACAGGTTATTTTTACTTATCACGCAATAATAAGAGGCAATGTGTTTGTTCCTGGCCTTTGGGAAAATATCAGGCGTATCAGTAGACACAAAACCTTCATAAGTCACTTTAATGTCTGCTGAGTTCCTTCTGTCAAAAACACACACGTCTGGTGATTCAGACGTGTAGGAACAGGCAGAGATGGTTAATAATAAAAAACAGCTAGGAAAATACCACATACGTATATGTTTCGATTTACTTAAAAACTCATGCCATGGTGCGAGACTCAAAACTTTCTGGGTGATGAGGATTTAATAATCTCACCAGGCTGCCCTTCAAACTGGGATAAGGGAGCAAGTGCTCTGACGTCCTTGAACTGGATGGAAAACACATTTTTTCAGCAGGAGGCCCAATTACAGTCCATGTTCTAATGTGACCCTGCGTGAGAAGCAGTACTCATTTTGCATGATGATGATTGTCCTCACTTACCTGTGTTTGTGTTTGTGTGTGTGTGTGTGTGTGTGTGTGTGTGTGTATGTTTGGCCAGATGGTGATACTCCTGTAATGCATCAGCCAACTAACGCGAGTGAGAAGACCCAGCTAATTGGGGACGGACACCGGACATACACCTGAGAGAGAGTGTCTTTATAAACAGCACTTTCTGATATGATTCTGCTTTGAATAGCTGTTGAATAACTTTTAAAAAAATATATCATACATGTCATAACGTTAACGCTGGAATGTAATGGGGATGCACACTCTCAATGCACTAGCTGTATAGTTATGTGTCTTAATCATGGACGTTTTTCAACCAATGCTGTCTGTACATAACTTATAATGAACTATTGCTATATATTTTTTCTGCAGATAATAAGACTTATTATAAAGTAATGTGACTCTGATGTCTAGTGTATTAAGAATAAAAGAAAGTTTTCACAGAAGTAGGACATTTCAGACACAATCCTTTAAAAAAAAATGACAAAATGGCCCCACTTAGTGGTATGATTTTTTTTTTTATACACCCCATGTCACTGCTATGTCTGATTTACTTATACCATCACCACACACACCAAAACACTACCATGTCAATGTCGTGCTGTACTGGGAATAAACCACCACCCACATAAATATCTGATCAGCGGTGATCCTATGGAGATCCTTTTCTATTGATGGACAGAGTAGGGGGGGGCCAATACATTGTGCATAGCAACAGATACGGTCGATAACGAAGTACAAAGTACAAGTTTTACCATAAATAAAATGCACGTAACTACAAAGTAAGTTAGTTATACTATTTATTAATCCCTTACAAATGGCTTATATTGGATTATTTGTTATATTTATTATAACTGGCTAACGGCAAGCACAGCTTTTGACTTAAAAAAAAAATAGCAAAGACAGATGGTGCTGCCTATCCGATTCAGCATCATTAATGAGTGTGTTCCAGTGTGCATGTGAAATACACTATGCCCAAAAGTTTGTGGACACCTGACCATCACAACCATATGCGCTTGCTCAATGTCCTATTCCAGATTTAGTCCCAGTTTGCTGTTATAATAACCTCCACTCTTCTGGGAAGGCTTTCCGTTAGATTTTGGAGCATGGCTCTGGGCTGTGGAGCATTTGGCCATTACATACACCTACGTACACTGATATAAATTTTTATTTTTGCCAAATTTACATGGTAGAAGAAGAGAAAAGAGATGACTCCTTCGAGCCGGATTCGAACCAGCGACCTAAGGATCACTGTGTAACCGCTACAGTCCTCCGCTCTACCAACTGAGCTATCGAAGGGCCGTGCGCTGATTAAATAAATAGGGTATTAGTATGTAGTAATTAGTTATTATTGTTTGCATTGGATAGTAAGATGAGTGCTTCAGCTAGTTTGCTGGATAAGCAAAACACTTTCCATGTGCTTGTTACTACGACTGCTACTGTTCATCTTTAAAGACGAAGCTTGAAAAGTGTTGAGAAGGGGAATTAGCTCAAATGGTAGAGCGCTCGCTTAGCATGCGAGAGGTAGCGGGATCGATGCCCGCATTCTCCAATAGCTGCATTTTCCTTTCCCCATTTGGCGCACAATTGTACCTAGAACCTGTAAATAATCACAAATAGTCCGTACATGCTGCACCATTGATACACTTGTAAATAAATCCTTCTACATTCCGTAATTCGTCTACTGCCATATCTCACCATGTAAACCAGCATCAAATCCATACCTTCCCACCAGGAACGGATCAGTGACTTCAGATAGCAATTTCAGTGCGCACTTGTGATGGGTTCGCTCGAAACAGATGTGAATATCAGCGTGAACAGGGCCAAAAACAAAACTTTGACTCCTTCGAGCCGGATTCGAACCAGCGACCTAAGGATCACCATGTAACCGCTACAGTTCTCCGCTCTATCAACTGAGCTATCGAAGGGCCGAGGGAATGGCTCTAACGTTTGAATATAGACTTTATCTGAAGTTTGATAGCTAATTAGATGCCAGAATTGCGGTCTAACCTTTAGCTAGCGAACGTACTTATCAGTTGTCAAAAAATGTATAAGTATACCAGAGTTAATGCTGGCTAGCATTCACTAGCCAGCGTTAGTTATTATTGTTAACATTATAAACAGGAAGCTCCAGCTAGCATAACAAGGGGAATTAGCTCAAATGGTAGAGCGCTCGCTTAGCATGCGAGAGGTAGCGGGATCGATGCCCGCATTCTCCAAAGAAAGTTTTTCTTTCCTGATTTGGACCACGATTGTAATTGCAGCGTTTATAATCCATAAAAGAGTCCATACATGATGCGTTATTGATGCACTTGTAAATAAATGGACGAGTCTGTCTGTGCATTGCGACATTTTGCATCACCTCCATGTCCTGTCTCTCTAATTCCGATGTATTGGCTCAGCAGCCCCAACTTCTCCTGGCATGCATATATGGTAAAGTAAACACGGCAACTGACGTGACTGTTTCTAAAAACGGCTCCGGGTGACAGTCACAGGCCTGTGTGTGGGGTCAGAAACACACAGTGAGGAAACCACGCCACCATACACCATACACAGTGTGATCAATTATAAAGTTACTGTGCAGAGAAGATCACTGTGTATAGCTTACTTCTCATCTTTCTTTCTTTCTTTTTTTTTTTTTTGGACCATGGACATTTTGGAGAAGCAGCTGATTTGTCCAATTTGCCTGGAAATCTTTACGAAACCTGTAGTGATTCTGCCATGCCAACACAACCTCTGCCGGAAATGTGCAAATGACATATTTCAGGTACTATCTATCTATCTATCTATCTATCTATCTATCTGTCTGTCTGTCTGTCTATCTGTCCTTCTGTTTCAGTTAACTGTTATTTTTCTCCAGAAACTGGCCTGGCAAAATATAGTCTCAGGTTTTTATCAAGTTTTAAGGTTTTATCATGTTTTAAAGTATATATTCTATGACATTCTGAATTATTTAGCTATTAACAAACCTGTCATTTGATTATTACCCATACATCTTATAACAGCAGGCTTCTAGTGGACTAAAAATAATAAGATTTATTGTATACACTCATTTACCCTTGACATTTGGTTTGGCTTCATCTGTGTCATTTTTTGAGCTGGTCGCCTTTAATATAGATCCATATTAAATGTTCAGTGTAAAATATTAAGTTTAGCCATTCTCTGATTACCTGATAAAACCTCTGTTCCCTAAATAACAGATCACAGGGTAAATACAGGCCACAGACAAAAGGGCTTCCAAAAACTTTCCTAGAATAATATTACAAAGATAAGGGAGTGTTTTGAATAACAAATATGAACTTAAGAATTCTGTAAAACATAGTAATACATCTGTATCAAATTAACAGCTTTTGGACTCAAAATATTAAAATATAAAACTGATTAAAACACAAAAAGTATAAAATTGAGTCTCAGTCACCTGATGAGTCACGTCAGATCCAGTGTCACTCTTGGTGTGTGATGTTTCTCTATTTTTGCTCTTAAACACTGAGGAACTGGAGTAGAATCCGAAAGAAACCATCTTGTTTTTCATATTTTATTTATTTCTGTAATCACAGACCAAAGAGGCAAATAATGAATATACAATCCTGATCCAACTGATTATTAATGAACAAGAATGTGTTTTTGACAACATGAAGAACATGTGATTGTGTAATACTTATTTACTGACACGACTCCTCACCATGTAAACAGGCGTCAAACCCATATCTTCCCACCAGAGGAGGGTCAGTGACCTCAGGCGGCCGTTTCAGATGCCCATCCTGCAGGCACGAGGTTGTTCTGGACCGCCATGGGGTTTACGGACTGCAGAGGAATCTTTTGGTGGAAAACATCATTGATATGTACAAACAGGAATCCACCAGGTGAGCATAATTAAGTAAGGGAAGCCAGAACAAGATACTTACATTACGATCAGTATGAACAAAAAAATTTAGCATTTCAGTGCCTCTGTATTTATCCACTGGAAATAAATTATGTATTGAATAAATTTCTGAAAAATTATTTAATACTTTTTTTTTTTGTTAATTAGACTGACTATAGATGTACATTCAATTTCTATATAGATTTGTCTGCTGTCACTTTTAATGCAATGTTTAAAAGAATGTATTTCCTGCTCTCACTTTGCACTTTGCTTTTAAGAACAGAAATCCCCTGGGCTGTACATTTTAGCCTGCTGTCACTCTTCCACTCTTCTCCACACTTAACTGTTTTCCATTTATTTATGAGTCAAACCCCTTCCTGGTTCAAACAGAGAAGACTTTTGCATTTGAAGAGGTTGTGCTGTGCAGGAAGTTGTCATGCAGCCTGTGCACCCGGTGCCCCATGAGCTCTGTGACTGATGAATGAAGTTAAATTTCTTTTTCTGAGACAGAGGAAAAGGTGATATGAGTAATTTAGCCAAACGATGGAGTATATTCTCTCTCCTATTGTCCTTCACAGGGGTTGACAAATCAGAAATTCATTAGCTAGTCCCTTGGGTTAATGTAAGCTCCAGTGTGCTTACATGTGTCCCCAAATAGCTAGACTAAGAAGCAGCAACTCACGTAACTCAAAAGTGTGATGAGCTAATTATGCGCATTAATGCGGTCTCTAGAAAACAAGCGAGTGCTTGAATCCCTGGTTTTAGTCCACGTCTTTGTCCTTTCCTGAAAATGTCCTGATGAAGCATTATGTATGCGCCCTCACATACGTAAAAGGCATTGCTTAACATTTTGACTATGAGCTGTGGTGTTCCCTTGTTGCACATAAATACATGTCTGGCCTCCATGTTAATTATTTTGCTTGATGAAGGATTTAATTGGGATGTGACTGTGTGTTATGCTAGCATTAGAGTTACATAAGGTTTGTGCTGCACTGTACTGTGTTACTCTCAGTTTAATCACTGTTTAGCTTTGTATTTTTGATTTGGGAAAGATCAGTTCAAGTTACTGTAATTAATACGCCTAGACCGTGTCACTGGTTTGTGTGCAGCAGGTGGTGAAATTCACA